TTTTTAGCTTCAACAGCGGGTCTGCTTGGTTGATCAGTCTTGGCCCTGGGTTGGGATATTCTGGGTTGCGATGATTTGGACCTGACTTCTTTTGAAGGTTCTTTGGAGACTTTGGACGGTTGCTCCACTTTCACCTGTTGTTCCTTAGAAGTGTTTTTAGGACTATCGGTCTTGCAGGCCTCCCTTTCCTGTCAAGTCAATTCACAATTATGTCATTTTACGAAAAATGTTTTTATAACATTTAATTTAAGACGATTCAAAATTATGAAGCATTAAACTGACTTAAACTGACTACATATTTCAATTGTGTTTAATGAATATCGAATTAAATGCTTTTATATCAAAAATAAATTTACAATACATTGCCCATACTTTCCACTGTTTTCTATTGGCTACCATCTATGATGAATTATGCATTAGTTTACTGCTAATTTAAAGGTGATGTAAAAAACTTATGTGCCACCAACCTATTTTTCATTTTGTTGGTATTAAAACATGTTTATTTTTGGTTCCCATGGGGATATTATGCTATATCTGAAATTGTAAGCTGATGACATGGGTGATATACACTGTATATCTATTGTAACTTATGGAGTTACATAAAACTAAGCTCATACTGGTATACCAATGAACATTGTCATGCAATTTTAATGACCGACTTTCTTCTAAACATTATTCTGCCTTCTACCTTAACCAATAAACCAATAATCACTATATTGACATTTTAAGAATTTTTATTTGTTTTCTATCACTAATTTCATTTTATATCAAATTTTAGCTCATTTTGAAATCAGCAAAATAAACAAAATTAAGCATTCTACAAATAAGAGATAGTTTAATGACAATTAAATGTATTGGAATTTAACAAACTACAATACAAAATATAATCAAATGAATTCAGTGTATCACCTTTGTATTTGAAACTTCAGGAATAGCCTCCAGGTCAGGTGAGAGGTCAAGCTTTTCATCCCCTGGTTCCGATGGTTTCGTAACTTCTATTTTCTGTTCTACAGGCAATTCATAGACATCAGAACGGGCAGACGATGGTCGTTGCCTGTCTCCACTTCCCGAATACGGCCTCTTTTCCGAGCTTGAGGAACTCGGTCGCCTAGGAAAGAAAAAATTGCTATGGTTAGATGAACTTTATATGGGAAGACATCATTCTGATTTGGGCAGCATAGTAATTGAGGACAATGCACCCAGATTTAACCTGAATAGACAAAGAAAAGTGTGCATCAATATTTAACTTTTTCTCACATTCAGGCAAACACAAAAATAACAAACCCATGTTTCTTTCAGATCAGGCCAATTTCGTCTGGAAAATAAATTGCTACATCTTGTTTGGCATGAACATTCTACATGTACATGTCACCTTAAACACAAAAACATTTGATTCCTTCCCAAGGTAGCATTACAGGTTTTATTAAATTTTCCAACATTTTCAGATATTATATTTAAAATAAAAGGTGACAAATTAACTGCCAATCATGACTTGATAACACTCTAAACTACATTTGTCTCCTTCTTTGTCGCATGATCACTAAAAGTTTGTTGTCCTTTATCCCATAAATAGTTACCTTTGCCTTGTCCCTTCTAAAAACAGTGCAATGTGTTTTTTGATAAATGGGTTGCGAAGTATTCTGGACACGCTGGGTCTTTTCTCCGGACTTTGGTTTAACATTGCTTTGATAAGATCTGTCAGATCCAGACTGTACATCCTTGGCATAAGAGGCATCTGAGATGTAAATAAACAAAAACAAAAAAATCACAAAAATGCGTTGTAATGTGTTTTATTCTGATATTTGATCAATCAGTAGCACATCCTAACTGTATGCATATTTACTAAGAGAATATACGCCAACCAATCAGAGAGCATGTTATAGTACAAATTGTTGAAATTCATAAGATAGGATGTGATTGGTTCATGATTAAACATGATTAGATTAGACAATGTCTCATACATTATCATTGTCTGCCTGCACGGTGTTGTGTTCAGACATTCCTCCGTTACCAACCTTCTGCGGTAACTCCATTCGTAACCGTGTAAGTCACGTGGTTGCGCGATAGAAAGTTTACCGACCAATTGAAAGCTTTGTTACAAATGACTGCCAAAAACACTTGGAATTTTGCATTTCTGATGTCTTCATCTTCGGCTTCATTTCTGCCAATTATATGTTGTATTGACATGAGCTCCGAGATATAACACCTGCTCCTCTAATTCTCAACAGTGGTGACAACACTATTAACAATACCATGCTCAATGATCGCAAGGCCGGTAACACATAATAACATAATGAAGACATCAGATTCAGAATTGAGTATAGCTTAAATAGCTTTGGTCTGAATATCTGTAAGTTGTATGATGTCTCAATATCATCGCTGTATTGCCTCAACATCCAGCTTCCACTGTGCGCAGCCATATTTGTTTTAATAGCTTGGCCAAGCACGTTGATGAAAGAAGCAATCTGATTGGCTGTTGATACACTGATTCTAAACTGTGAGGGCATTGTCACATACACATAGTTCTAATGAAATACTTCAAGGTGATAGTGGAGTGCTCTGCCGGAACATTTCCCTTGAAAATTCAAGATGATACATTATATGCACACAACTTTTACAGATTGAGACAAACATTTTTAAATGCACATTAGGACAGGAACAGATCTTTAGCAGGACTGACATCATGTCATTCTGATACAACACCAGTTAGTCTCACAGCGCTAATACTGTATGTTCGGTTGTCTAGTTGAGTGACCTTCTTGGCTGGAGGTTGGGTCAGAAAACCATAGATATAAAATTTTACTCACCTTTCCTCTGAGTATTTTGTAAACTAAGGAATTCATATCTCTGGCGTTGAACGCATGTTTTAATGTTGACATCTCGTATACGCAGCATCCTAATGCCCAGACATCAGACTGAAATGACAAATTATATCAAATAAATTTAATTCAATAAAACAAAACTTTACGACTTTATTTTATTTTATTTAGTTTCCCAGTATGCAATTTAACCAATTTCATTCCTTCCAAGAAATTTTACGAATTTTAATAACCAACTAAACGACAAAATGCAATCAATATCCACGTAATGGATCATCATTCAATGCAAGTCGCCCAGAGGTCATTTGCATACAGACATTTATACTACAAACATTATTAAAATAGTGGATCAAAATTTATCACATGTACAGTGTTACATAAAGTAACACAGCCTTACATAAAATCAGTATTTGCCATGATAATGTAATGAAGTTATGGAGACAGGCAATCTGTGATGACAGAGATGAGTGGTGAGAATTCTGTGCAGTCTACATATGTAGCGATTTGCCAGTCCATTGAGTTCACTGAAAAGGGTACTCTGAATGGCTGGATTCCAAGCTTATGTACTGTAAAATACTTTATTTTCGCTTGGAGTTTATTTTCGCTGAAGGAATGAGTCAGTGAAAAATAAAATCCAGCAAATATATCTTTTTTCCTATATTTTACATTCAACTTGTCAAAAATCAGTGAAAATAAATTCCATACAAAATACCCAAAAAGTCTTTTCAGCGAAAATTAATTCCAGCTAAAATAAAGTATACCTTTCTATTCTTTTTATACATGCATTAAACAAGGACATTTTTTTTTTATCACAAGTTACAATTTTTAGACGAAATTTTGTGAAATACATGTATGATGGACTTTCATGAATACTAATATTTGATTTTTGGAAATTTTCCAAAACAAAATGGGTGTCAGACCAAGTGAAGTAAGATACTGTAAGGTAATCATCAGATACATGTATGTGCAGTCATTACTAACAATAAATTATTTTAATTTGCATTATATTGTCACTAACGTAATTCTACAAAAAACTTCACATACCTTATGATTGTAGGGTTTATTGGAAAAAAGTTCAGGACTCATATAATACGGAGTGCCTATGAGAGTTGTGGCCATGTCATTGTGTCCGTCTAGTACTCGGGCTATTCCTAAATCTCCAACCTTGATTATCTTGCTCTTCGTCAGAAAAATATTCTGTGTTTTTAAATCTCTATGAAGTATATTCCTTTCATGCATATACTGAAAAATAAAAGTTACTCAACATCAGTGATAACTCACAGCAGGCAAGTTTCAAAATGCTCATAGCAAGTAATTTCCATAGATTCTCACCATCTTACTCAACTTCTTCCCAGACAGTTCTACGCTACTCACACCAAAAAGTTTGATCAGGAAGATGTACATACACATACAAACCATGAAGTGTGCACTTAGGTAGTGGCACAGTACACTTTGGATGAATTAACTTCCAAGCTGGCTAACAGTAAGCTTTACCATCTCAAAAAAAATTTATAATTTTAAAGCAAGCATCATTGTCATCAATAATTTCAAATTAATCTTTGTAGTATTTAACTATGTTATGATTATGAGACAAACTTAGACAGATTACTCCACACACTCTTAGCTTAAAGCTAGTTCAATTTTAAATTACGCTTGAATGGTAATGTACTCCCATCGCCTTCATGTGTATTTTGTGGTATCCTCACAATAACCTCTTATTATTTTTGGTTATTAATAGTCAAGGAAATGTTTTATGAAGACTACATTGAGCTTCAGCAATGATGTGTTGGAATGTATTGCCAATGGTATCACAAATTGGGTCAAATGTCAGTTTGAAAAGAATATATGAAAACTAATTTTGTTTAAATATGTAACCAAAATCTTGAAAATACTTGTATATTACACAAGCAGCCTATCGGCTGAGATAGCTCCGCTGTTAGCAATGCACATTTCAACTGAAGACATCATTAGAAAATGAACAATATGTATAGTATCAAAACAATCGGACTTACAGTTTTTAACAAGAAGTCGAAAATATCACTTTCTACCAAAAATGACAAAAATATTCACCAAAATTAGAGAATTAAAGATATCATCACGAAATGAACAAATCTGAGAGAGGTCCACACGTAGTACCTATATATGTAATATCAAAGCAATCGGACTTACAGTTTTTAACAAGAAGTCAAAAATATCACTTTCTACCAAAAATTACAAAAATATTCACCAAAATATCATCACAAAATGAACAAATCTGAGAGAGGTCCACATGTAGTACCTATATATGTAGTATCAAAGCAATTGGATTTGCGGTTTTTAACAAGAAGTCGAAAATATCACTTTTTACCAAAAATGACAAAAATATTCACCAAAATTAGAGAATTAAAGATATCATTACAAAATGAACAAATCTGAGAGAGGTCCACATGTAGTACCTATATATGTAATATCAAAGCAATTGTACTTGCGGTTTTTAACAAGAAGTCGAAAATATCACCTTTTTACCAAAAATGACAAAAATATTCACCAAAATTAGAGAATTGAAGATATCAACATGAAATGAACAAACCTAAGAGAGGTCTACCCAAGGTACAAAGGTACACCAAGTATCAAAGCATTCAGGCTTGTAGTTTTCAAGAAGAAGTCGAAAAAGTAAAACATTGACACGGACGATGGACAATCACTCATATGATAAGCTTCGCTGACAAAGTCAACAGCGGACTGCGGGATTTGACAAAGTATTTTTGGGGTATTTTCATTTGATGATGGACAAAATGTAAGCCAAAATGTGTGAAAAAGAATAAAAATTACTGTTTTTGGTAAACAAAATGGCTACCTGACGACCATCTTTTAATTGAATTGTAACACAAATCAACTGTTGATGTGTCAGAACACAATCATCTGTGAACCAAGTTTGAACATAATTAGAATTTGAGATATACGCAGAATTGTGCAAAAAAAAAAAAATTTCATCTCATTAAAAAGAAATGACTTCTGGTCAGTCATATTGCATCAAAGGTTTTAAAATCGAAAAAAACTGAATCAGTGACACAACTTGGAGAATAAAACGTAGGTTTTTAGGCTACTTATGAGTGAAATATGGCCACCAGTTGTCCATTTTGTATTCTGAACAGAAGAGAAAATCTGGGGCATATGTATTTTATCATGTATTTATCATGTACCAAGGTTGAGAAAATTCACTTAATGAACTTCTGAGATACTGCAACAGACAGACGGAATACAATCCATAAGCAGATTGTTGTGTTTTCATTTCTTTAATAACATTTGCAATGCTCGATTCAGGGCAATACATGCTCTATTCAGGGTTTGATCGAGACAATGACGTCTCATAACACGACAAGCATCTACATGTACGCCAGATAGACTGTTAAAGTGGCCGGCTGAGAGGGGTTATGTAAAAAGAGTATAAATCAGTCATCCACTATACACGTATACTAATGTAAAAAGTCATTTCAGGTCAAATCAGTGATCTGAATAAGTAATTTTATTACAGTTTGGCTAATGATGAGTTGTTATTGTCTCGGGGGTTTTCAAATGTACATTACAGACATACTTCACATACAGGAAATAAAGAATGAAAAGAATAAATTGTTTTTTCCGCCTACATTTTTATTTTTCCTCTACTGGGAATGACCACACAGTTTCAAAGGGGATGCAAGAAATGTACTAAAGTAGTCCCTTGAATCAGATTGCTGTGATTACACAATGGTGCCCAGGGGAGTTCAGACAGAAACACAATTTACCAAGTGTATACCCATAGTTCACATACATGCTGATATCAAATCAAAATACTGTATGCAGTCGTCACAAGTTTTGTAACTGGACATATGGTAACATGATATCTAAAATTGAAATCTCACTAAAATATAATTATAATTGCCATTTATTACTGGTGATTCCTAGTCTGTCTGGGTTTCTAAATTCAAATAATTGCCTAAAAGACTAAATCTACCCTGGCCCCTTCACAAATTTACAGTCCTAGGACTACTGTTTTTCAAAATTAGTAGCTTACATTTACATTTTCGTATCTGGAGTAAAAATTAATAAAAGTACTTTTGAAATAAAGCAACTATGGATGTTCTTCACAAACTTAGCAAATGAAATGTATTTAATTCTATTTACACTTTTCTGCTTGGTTATTATTATAAAATTATTAATTATTATAAAAATCATACAAGAAATTTCATAAAAATATTATAAAAATCATACAAGAAATTCCAAATCCACAATTTCTAATAAGGAAATATCACAACTTTGAAATGCATCAAGGCATTCAAATGGACAATTGCTTTTTCTGTGACACTGGATGTTGACTCCTGTATTCACTATGTACATACAATTTAATATAATACATATATATTTATATTTGTAGATATACATGTACATTTGTACATATACATATACTGGTAATTCAATATTAGATGAATTGGTTGATATACTGCATACAATGTATAAATGTACCAGTAGATTACAATCGATGTGGCGGTATATATTTGTTTTATATTGTGGAGGGTGGTAACAAATTGGCAATGGTTGATTCCCCCCAGAAAGCACAAAGTACATGTACCCTGCTGCTATACATACAATGCATGTATTTGTAATTTCTTTACCGACGATACCAGGATATGCATCAATACAAATAAAATAGTTAATTAAGTGGTTATATTAGTTGCACCCTGGAAATTTCCCCCAAGTAGCATTTCAGTTATAATTTATTCTCATATTTACAACAAAGATAAGAGACTTAAATTACACTCAATGGATTTATTACATCCCATTGCATAAGAGATGATGATTAATTTTCTCCATACATGCTGAGGTTGGGTACGCTTGGCGATACAATATACGGTGAGTGAATATGGTGTGAGCATATGAAATGAGGATAATAATAATATAAGGTTAA